CCCGCCCCGCGGGGTCCAGCCGGTGGACCGGGCGAGTGTGGCCCCTGCTGGCCCAGGGGTGGGGAGGGCTTGAGGAGCCGCTTGAGGAGCGGCCGCGCCAGGTCACTCGACGACGCGGGGACCGAGAAGAAAGGGTGGGCCAGGGCCTCCGCGGTGGCCAGGGGCAGGCGTGGGGGTCAAGGGTCTGGACGGAGGAGCGGTAGGCGCACGCGGGAAAGGAGCCGTCCCTTCCTGGGAAACAGACCCAAGGGGGCCCCTCCCAGGGGCGAGGAGAAGAAAGGTCTGAGGGCCCTTAGCAGATGGGGGAGCGGGCGACCGCGTCCTGGAGCAGAAGTCCCCAGAGGACCCTTCTGTCCTGTCCTTTTGGGAGTCCTGGAGAGGAGGAGGCTAAAAGCCCAGCCTGAGCGCTCGCTCGAGTTACTAGGTTGAGGGAGACCCACGGAGTTTCCGTCCCCAACACCTCCCCGCTCTCTGGGAGAGGGGCGGTGTGAGAAGCATGAACTGGGGAGCCACTCATTTGCCCATGCCTGCAACCCACTCAGAAGTGGGGTGCAGCCTTCTCTCCTGCTCGCCCCTCTCCTTTCTCCGTTGCGGGGGTCTCCTTCCTTAACGCTCTAGTCCTCCAGCACCCTCTCGCTGCCTCTGGGCTGATGAGCCCACCTTTTCTCCAGTCTCCCATCTTTCTGCTTTCCCCTTTGCGCCTCCCCTTCTGCGATTTTCCTCCCACTTGGGATGAGGGGGCCTGTGTCTGGAAAGGACCCTAACTGTGCAGGGTGGTGGTTAACCCCCACTCGGGTTCAAATCCTGGTGTGTGAACTCAGCTTCGATGTTGGAAGTTCGAGAACCTCCTTGAAACGGTCTTTCTGTATGAAAGGGGATAATTAGGGCCTCCCTGGTGGCACAAGGGGTTCAGTCTCAGCACTGTGAAGCTGTGGGCAGCCACTGCAGCATGAGTTCCATCCCTGGCCAGGGAGGGCGCAGCAGACCTCTCCTGTCTCCCCACTGCCCCCTCAGCAGTGTATTTCAGCCCTTCTGCCTGTTCTGCTCCCCACTCTGTCTCTGGTGGATCCTCTCACCCTTCCCCCTCCCCCCACACCTCTGGCCTACATCTCAGCCGTTGTAGACATAAATAAATAAATCTTAAACATTTTTTTAGAAAAGAAAGGGAATAATGTATGTATTTTAAAATCGTTGCAAGGCTCTGAGATAACGCTCTCCGTGCAATGCCTCCCCTCAGTGATAGTTGCCATTACCCCCTTCATCATCTAGCTGGTGGCTTTCAAATTGTTTCACGCAGCCCTGGAATTTTTAAGGGTTTCTCCAGAGATACCTTCCGGGCAGGAGGTGGGGAAGAGAAAGTGGAAGCATTGGAGCCCCAGGCTGACCACACTTGCTTTCCACGGAGAAGCTCCTCCGTTAGCTCTGAGGTCATTGGGATGCTACAGATTAAAAACTAAAGTTACCTGCTGCTTTTAAAAGTCTGGGAAGTTCTGCATTTTTCCCACCTCCTATTTTATAGGTAAGAAGACTGAGGTCCACAGAGGGGAGCTTCTGCCCGCAGAACTCTGCCTTCCCTCAGGGCACATGCCCTGGCTGCTCCTCTGCTGTCCCCGCCCCCCACAGCTCAGCCCTGCCTGTGCCCCCACGCAAGGATTAAACTGCCTCAGCTATAGACCAAGCTCATCTCTGGCTTGAGGTGGTTTGGGGCTCAGGTGGCCAGGAGGCTCTCTGAGGGGCTGTCTGCGGGCGGGCCAGCTGCCCCGCGACCCGCCAGCCGCCGGACGCCTCTCAGAGCGGTCTTGTTCCTGTCCCCCAGGCGCCCTGCAAACCCCAGATCATGTCTCTGTGGGGTCTGGTTTCCAAGCTGCCTCCAGAAAAGCTGCAGCGGCTGTACGTGGACTTCCCTCAGCACCTGCGGCACCTCCTGGGCGACTGGCTGGAAAACCAGCCCTGGTGAGTGCCCCAGAGCGCACACCCGCCGGCGCCCTGCTCTCCTTGGGTGGATCTCTGCCTCCCCCACCCCAGTTTCTGAGGTGGAAGCTGTTGGTCCATGGGTGGTGGCCTAGACCTGTTGGGGTGTCGGGGCTCAGCCAGACTACGCTCTTTATACACAGAGCCCCTCATCACCTCAGGGCCCAAACCAAAGGGAAGGGCGGTCAGGGCCGGGGCAAGGGCTCCTCCATAACAGCTGGAAAGTTGGGGTACCAGAGGCAAGGATGACAGCTGCAACGGCCTGCATGGAGACTAGGAAGAGGAAAGGGGTGCTGAGCTGGCCGCTGTGGGTGGAGTGTGGGATCCCCAGCCCTCCTTGTTCTTGGTGCTGGGGCTATGGGCTTGAACCCCAGTTTCTTGCTGGGCAGCGAGGCAGGGTCCTCTGGGCAGGGACCAAGCCCCGGGGCGAGGAGCATCCCGAAGCCTGTCTCTGCGGGAGCAGCAGGGCTACGCCGTGAGCGCGGTGAGCGGGCACCTGACCTGTGAGGCCAGCGGAAGTGAGGCCCGGACAGGCCCGCCGCCTGCGCAGGCCGGCACCCGCGGCCTCCCTCCGGCCGCTCCGCCCCGGAGCTGCTCCGCGGTGCGAGGCTCCCTCCGCCCCTGCCCTGCCCTGGCACCTGATTCTAGCACAGCGAGATGCCTAGCGCGGGGCTGCCTCCTGCCGGGGAGGCCGCCCCGAGCCCTCGCTGCGCCCCAGGGGCCTGCGTGCCGCTGTGCTCAGGCGCCCGCCCCACGCTGTTGCCAGAGAGGCGGCAGTGAGGGTCGGTGCGGCCAGGACGTTCGCCTGAGACGGCCCTGCCCTGATCCACCTACAGGGAGTTCCTGGTCTGCTCAGATGCCTTCTGCTGCGACATGGCCAGTGCCCTGCTCTCCGCCACTGTCCAGCGCCTCCAGGCCTTGACCGGAGAGCAGGGGGAAGGAAGTGCCATCTTGCAACACATCAGCACCCTGGAGGTGGGGGCAGTAAGGGGCGGGGCAGGCTGGGAGGGGCCGGGTGGAGCTGGGGTGGATGTTGGATGCTGAGAATTGCTTGGATGCTGGAGGAAGTTGGTACTGTCATGGCTAACCTGGCTGGCATGCAAATTTGATTTTAAGAGAATGCAAATGCATGAAAACTTGTGGCATCTGCCATGGTGCAGGCTCCCAGCATGCGGGGGGCGGAGAGCAGCATAGGTGAGAGCCCAGTAAACCTGTCCACCCCGTCATCTCCTTAGAGCATATATCAGAGGGACCCCCTGAAACTGGTGACCACGTTCAGACAGATACTCCAAGGGGAGAAAAAGGCCGTCATGGAACAGGTACGTGGCACCTCACCTGTCACCCCTGCTCAACCTGGGACTTCAGCGGGAGCCATCTGCAACCGGAAGGACTTTGAACTTAGGAAAGGCTCAGTGTTCTAGGCCCAGGTGGCCAACAGAGGTTCTTGGGGTCGGCGTGAACCCCACGTCAAGCTCGGGAAGCTCCACACGAAGCACTGAGGGCAGTGAGGCCTGGGGAAGAGAAAGCAAGGAGCTGGTTGTGCCAGGAGGGAGAGCTGGGAGAATTCTCAGCAGGGAAGCCAGACAAGGGAGGCCTGTCTCCTCTCCAGACCACGCAGCAGGCACCCTGTCAGGGCCGGGGCCAAGTGCAGGAAGGGGGTGGAGTCTCACCTCTGGGCGTCTGTCCCCCTGTGAAGTTCCGCCACCTGCCGATGCCCTTCCACTGGAAGCAGGAAGAACTCAAGTTCAGCACAGCCCTGCAGAAGCTGCAGCACCGGGTGCGGGAAGCCCGGCTGCTCCGAGAGGCCCTGCAGCGGGGGGCTGAGGCTGGCCAAGGTGGGAGCGGGTCGGAGCCCCGAGGGTCCCGGGGAGTGTGCGGGAGGGACCCCCCTTAGCCCTCAATCTGTCCGCACCGCTCATTTCCGGCTCCCACCCTAGTGTCTCTGCACAACTTGATGGAAACTCCGGCCAGCAGGACTGGGCCAAGTGAGGTGAGTACTGGACCGAGAGGTGGAGGCCGAGCTCCAAGCCCCTCTCTGAGGAGTCTCAAACCTGTGGAGGGATGGGGAGTGTACTGTGGAGAGACACAGGTTAAGGTGGGGGTGAGGCAAGGCCGGGGGTGAGGCAAGGCTAGCGGTGAGGAGGCCCTGCGCTCAGGAGCTGGGCGAGGAGGTGGCCTCGGGCCCACTCAGGCCCTCTCTGTCCACAGAACCTGACCACGTTGCTGCAGGAGACTGTTGGGGAACTGGAGGCCGCCCAGGCCTTGGTGCTAAAGAGGATCCAGATTTGGAAGAGGCAGCAGCAGCTGGCAGGGAATGGCGCGCCCTTTGAGGAGAGCCTGGCCCCGCTTCAGGAGAGGTTGGGCCCCGGCCAATGGAGCACGGGGTGGGGGTGTGAGGGTGGGGCGGGCCCGCGGGCAAGGGGCCTGGGTGGGCAGGGGCCCAGGGTGCCAGTGCCGTAGAGCCACGCAACCTTGCTCGGGTTGCGTCCTGTGCAAATACGGCCCCACTGAGGGCTGAGAGGCCTGTGTCTGGTCTTCCGTGGAAAAGTACAGTTTGTGCAAAAGTACCACACTCGTGGCAGCCGAGCTGGGCCCCAGAGCCCTGAGGAATGGGCAGCGGAGTGTCCCCGGGGCCCGGCCCAGACACAGACGCGAGCTCCCACCCAGCGCCAAGGCAGGGCCAGCCCGGCCCAGGCCCCTGCAGCCAAGGCACTGCCCACCCCAGGCACAGTAGGGACGCCGGCCTGGGCTGGAACCGGCAGCCTGAGTTCTGTGCCCCCTGACCACGGTCCTGACCCCAGGTGTGAGAGCCTGGTGGACATTTATTCCCAGCTGCAGCAGGAGGTAGGGGCGACTGGCGGGGAGCTTGAGCCCAAGATCCGGGCGTCGCTGGTCAGCCGGCTGGATGAAGTCCTGCAGGGCCTCGTCACCAGGTGTGCCCGGCTGGGGGGACGGGACTAGAACGGTGGGGAGGGCACCAGGCACCCCACTGACTCCCCTCATGTCTCCCTCACTCTTTTCAGCTCTTTCCTGGTAGAGAAGCAGCCCCCCCAGGTTCTGAAAACTCAGACCAAGTTCCAGGCCGGGGTTCGATTTCTGCTGGGGCTGCGCTTCCTGGGGACCTCAGCCAAGCCACCGCTGGTCAGGGCCGACATGGTGACCGAGAAGCAGGCGCGGGAGCTGAGTGTGCCACAGGGGCCGGGGCCTGGAGCGTAAGCTGGGGCTGGGGGTGGCCGCCGGCTGTAATGGAGGCCAGAGGGGCGTGGGTGGGGCGGGGCACCAGGACGGGGTGGGAGGGGAGACCACAGGGTGCAGTGGGTGATCACTGCAGAGGCAGGGGTCCATCTGGGCTGGAATGAGGTGGGTGCGCAGGCTTTGGCCAGGAGGGGCGAGGTTTGGAGGGAGCCCCTCAGGCTGGCTGAATGCGCATCCCCTCTCTGGCCTCAGGGAAAGCACTGGGGAGATCGTCAACAACTCGGTGCCTCTGGAGAACAGCATCCCCGGGAACTGCTGCTCCGCCCTGTTCAAGAACCTGGTGAGGGCTCCCTGGTGGGAGTGGGGCTGGAGTCGGGGTCCTCGGCCACCGGGCCTTCCTGGGACAGCATGTGGGGCCAGGCGGGATGTCTGCCCTCAGCATGCCCTCCTTCACCCCACTCCGCAGCTTCTGAAGAAGATCAAGCGGTGTGAGCGGAAGGGCACTGAGTCCGTTACGGAGGAGAAGTGCGCCGTGCTCTTCTCCACCAGCTTCACGCTTGGCCCCAGCAAGCTCCCCATCCAGCTCCAGGTGAGCCGAAGCCCCAGCCTGGCCCCGTGGGGAGCCCCAGCCCCCCAACACAGGACCCGGGGCCCTCAGCACTGCGCCATCCCCGCGGTGGGGTCCGCACCCTGGGGTGCAGGGTGGGGGAGCAAGAGCGTGGTGTTCACGTGCTGGAAATGGAGGGCAGGGCGGCAGCCACTGGCACTTGCCATGGGCGTCGTGGTCAGGGCCGTGTGCCTTGTGGTCAGGGCCTGGCGCGTAGCCCATGCACGCTCTCGACTCTCACAGTAGTGCGCCACGGCAGGGCCCATCACAGCCTCCAGGGCAGGGGGCAGGGGGACCCAGACAGCTGGCCATCCGCCAGGCGCGTGGCTTCCGAGGGCCGGAGCCAGCAGCTGCTTGCAAACCTGGAGGCCCTCGGGGCTGACCCGCAGCCATTTCCCTACACCGAGCTTCAGAAGCCTGGGGGAGGCCCCAGAGCCAGGCTCTTGTCAGAGTGTGAACCCAGGAGCTTCCCTTTGCCCTCAGGGCCAGCCCCCAGGAAGCCCCTTGCCCTAGTAAGAAGAAGCCCGCCCCCTCCCCTTCAGGCCCTGTCACTGCCCCTGGTGGTCATCGTCCATGGCAACCAAGACAACAACGCCAAAGCCACCATCCTGTGGGACAACGCCTTCTCTGAGATGGTGAGGAAAGGTGGGCGGGGGCTCTCACCAGGGGGTGCAGGCTGGGGGGCAGCAGACATGTTCAAATGGGAGCGCGTTTAACTCCCGATGAACCTGCTTTTGCACGTCTGACCTCTCTCCGTGCCAGTTTTAACTGTTGGGGTAGCACCCACACTACTGTTGAAAAAGCACCATCTTGGTGGGCAAGGGGCGGGGGCGGGGGCAGGCCAAGGAGGGCCCGAGGCGGAAGGGGCGATGGCCTGAGCTGCCCCCTCGTGCCCCTCCAGGACCGGGTGCCCTTTGTGGTGGCCGAGCGGGTGCCCTGGGAGAAGATGTGCGAGACTCTGAACCTCAAGTTCATGGCCGAGGTGGGGACCAACCGGGGGCTGCTCCCGGAGCACTTCCTGTTCCTGGCCCAGAAGATCTTCAACGACAGCAGCCTCAGCACCGAGGCCTTCCAGCACCGCTCTGTGTCCTGGTCACAGTTCAACAAGGTCACGCCGCTGCCTGTACCTCCCACCCCAAGCTCTCCATCTCCCCACCGCTGGGGTAGTCACATGCCCCCACGCCCCCTGGAAGGCCCCCTCACGGCGGAGCTAGCCCAGAGGGTGCTCCCGGAGTCCCTCGGGCCTGGCTCTGCGGCCCTGGCCTCTTCACCGCTAACGTGTGCGTGTCCACACCGCTGCGATCCAAAGTGACTTTTACCTGTTGGTAAAAGAGTTCCTACTGCAAAAACCGGCTCGAAATCCCACAGGGACACACCGGTCCTCACTCACGGCCCCCCAGGCCCCGCACCTGGCTCTCGTGGCACTGCTGTTCATGTCCATTTGACTTAACCCTTGCTGTGCAAAGGGGTCAGCAGCTTGCTGGAGGCCTCGCAGCGCCATGGCTGGCGTGGGCCCTGTGCGGACCTGGCTTTTGCCCTTAGCTATTGTGTTTTATTGGAGTCACTCCAATACAAGGCGACTGAAGATTGGTTCTGTTACAGGAACAGAAAAGGAGACTTGGATGACCAGCTGGGTAAAGGCAGCTATAGATTGCTCTCTCAGGAGAAAAGGGCAGGAGAGAAAGCCCCATTACCAGACGATGTGTCCATAAAGGGAGCGGGCCCTCCCTGGTGGCACAGCGGGTTAGGGCGCAGCACTGCCAGCTGGCCGCAGCCGCTTCAGTGTGGGTTTGATCCCCGCCTGCCCCAAGGGGACCTACAGGGCGCGGCAGACCTCGCCTGACCCGGCCGCTGCTCCCCTCAGCAGTGGACTTCATCGATCTGCCTGTTCTGCTCCCCACTCTGTCTCTGGTGAATTCTCTCACCATCCCTGCACCTCCGGCCTGTACCCCAGTTCTGTATGCATAAATAAGTAAATATTTTAAAATAAATAAGTAATGGGAGCAGGGACCCTCAACCTAGCAAGCCTCACCCCTCGGGGTCTCCCTGTGGCTGAGTACAGCGGTTAGGAGGCCCTTCGCACCTGTACTCCTCCCAGCACTGTCTGTCACCAGCTGGGTGGGACAGAGAAAGTTATTTGTCCTCCCTGGGTTTCCCTTTCTTCCTCTTTAAGCAGGGTGGGGCCTCCATCGGCTTGTAAAGATGGATTTATATGTGGGGCGGCTTGGAACCGCAGCTGGTTCGTGTAAGCTGAGTGTTGGCCATTGCCATTGGCACGGTCTTGCGTCCAGCTGGATGCCCCAGCCTGGGACTGTCGTGGCGCAGGGCCTGCGCTGACCACGGGCTTCAGCTCTGGCTTCCCTGTTCACACCACCGCCCTCCCCCACAGGAGATCCTGCTGGGCCGCGGCTTCACCTTTTGGCAATGGTTTGATGGTGTCCTGGACCTCACCAAACGCTGTCTCAGGAGCTACTGGTCAGATCGGTGAGTCCCTGCCCCCAGGACCTGCACAGCCGCACCTCCCCCTCCTCCCACACCAGCGCCTCCACCCCCATCCTGTCCTTCATCCTGACCAGGCTGATCATCGGCTTCATCAGCAAACAGTATGTCACTAACCTTCTTCTCAATGAACCCGATGGAACCTTCCTCCTTCGCTTCAGCGACTCAGAGATTGGCGGCATCACCATTGCCCATGTCATCCGGGGCCAGGATGGTGAGGTCACCCCACCCCTTTGTCTGTGTGCCTGTC